TTTACTTTACTGAGTAAAGTAAAGTCAAATGCTTCACTTTACTTTACTCGGTAAAGTAAAGTCAAATGCTTTACTTTACTGTACTTTATTAAAGTAAAGTAAAGATAAAGTGCCAGCCCTAGATATGAGCGTGAGTGTGGATGTTCTTGAAAAGAAGATCAACACCCGCACACCCATAATAAAGTAAATATTGTATTTATTTCAAAGAACGAGGAAGATGGATCATTAACCGAAAAGCGTTGAATCTATAGGCAGAGCATATATTTTAGATGGAAAGAATAAATATATGAGTCGTGTTTTGTAAAAGAAGCAATAGAAGTTAATGAACGAAGTGAAAAGAACTTAGATTATTTTGTCATTAGGTTATTTGTGTATTTGCGTTTTGTATTGTTTCATTGTCTAGCTTTCATTTTCTTTTCTAATCCGCTGACGAAAATAATAATATAAATTGCGAAGAATATATAATATGCGTGGCACTGCACACAGAAGTGCTGTCGAAATTCCACCAAACAGACTTAGTAATGTAAGACTGACATAAGTGACATCTAAACGCTGTCGAAACGAATAACGGCATATCACAGGCTGGCATGCATTATAATATCTATCATAGGAAACTTCACTCGTCCAAGAATCAATAAAAAGCCCACGGGCAATAGTTTCGAGGGTATCATTTTCTTGAAAATAAGATTTGTTGGAGAAGCGTTTTATTGGCGCCAATGGATATATATAACGCCAAAAAACGGAATCATTGGTAAGAAGTATTGCCTGAAGCAATGTTGTAAGACACGAGTTAGAAAAAAAGCACGTGAGAGAGGACTGCAACAGAGTGTCGACAAGCGTGCAACCATAAAATATATCGTCCAATGTATAAACTAGTATACGAGAATTCGCGAATAAAGCCATTGGTTTCAAGCATGATCGTGAAGTGGCACAGGAACAGTTGCCACCGTTGTATTCGACAGGAACAAATAGGAAAGGAACATCGTCATCAAAAGATGTTACTCTTGGTGACCAATTTGTTCCCATAACAGTTATAAGTGCATTACCTTGACCAACAACACGAATAGGCTCTAGAATACCGACAAAACCAGCCGAAGTCAACGCTTGAAACTGTTGTATTGCATTATTGATTAACACTTGAAATGGTTTAGGAGGCAATACTTGAGCAGATATGAATGCAGTTGAGCGAAACTGTTGAATGGCATTTACTATTGTTAAATTTGCTTCAGAACAAAAAGAAGCGATCATCTTGAAAAATAAGGGACCCAACTTTCGAAAATCATGTGCGTATAGCTCTGCCCAGCCGACTCTAACAGGCCCCGTTAAATAACTAATCCAACCATCGCTGACTAAGTCACTCAAACAGACAGGATGCAAAGCAGCTTCCAGCGAAACAATGAATTGTTGTTGACTGATTGAAATTTTCGAGCATGGACATTCAAGAGAGTCTTGATATTGAAGTTGAAGTTGTTCATATATTGACCGAGAAGGATTCAAAATCGTTCGACTTTCCGAACGTGCATGTAGTCCCGTGTAGAAAAGCAATATGAACGTGCAAACAATCAAAAGTATGAAATAAATACGTGTAGCTAAACGCTGGTGATATTGAGTCTCAATTGCCTGCTCATAGCTTTCAAATACATTGAGTCCACTAATGTATTGCTTTAATTGAGCAAATGCTGATAAATTTGGACCTATAAGAAATTGCTTCAACATCGATGTTATTTCACCAGAAAGCCAATAGTATGGATGCATGTGAATAGATTAGTGTCACTTAGTGGGACTTGAAGTGAAATTGAAAGATCCAAGCGCAGAAACTAGGAGCAAATTATTGGCAGATGAAAAGAAAAATTCAGATTTCCTAACGAGATATCTATTATTGAGAAAGATCAGTGTATTTCCTGCTAAACATTTTCTGTCTTACCTTACCTAAATCAAGAACATGTGAGAATTCTATATACAATAATTGACACTCGTAGCGGAAGAATCGAAAGTTATATTTCAATGTAAGAGAATTATTCTTCTTCGGCATTCTAATTGGTTATGAAAGCACTTTAATATGATTCGATTCTCCTACAAGCTATGCTAATTCTTTCCAAATCTTGATTCTTGCCAGAGATCTTTACTGTCTCATAGAACTATGATTTTCGATAAACATTGCTTAGATGATAATGTAAAATTTTATCGGAAGACACTTGAAATGAAATTGGTATGATATTAGCGCCAGCATAAAGAGAACAACCGAGTAGCATCGTCAACATAACTATATTACTCAAGATTTGTTGTCATAGTAGAAATAGCCTTGGAAAATTCATTCTGTGCAATGAAATTTCAAACTATTTCTTAACAAGAGAGATGTCACATGTCTAGGGAAATGGCGATGCTGGATAAGTACAAGGAGATGTGGAAGATATGAAGCTATCTATTAAAAGATGATTACATTACATGTAAACTCTCATGTGTGTTCGGGTTTCCTTCTTCACTCACAGTCGTGAGATGTAACCGCGGGTATTTCTATGTGTACCTGTTTTCTCCCTTATCAGCGCTGGAGAGATGCCGAATGCGCTGCAGAGATTTGCTTCGACTCGCAGCATCTCCCGTCTGGGTTCTTGGTGAGAAATAAAATTAAAATTTAATGCGAGATCTCGATGCGGGACATGCCTTGTCTCCTGTAGAGATGTCGCATCTACTGCACTTCTCCACATGGACTCGCGGCACCTCCCGCACTGGCATCTCCAGATAAAACTTTACTTTTATTAATAACCAAGAACCCACACAGGAGGTGCCGCATCTCCCTGCATTTCTCCAGCATCCCTGATTTCCTGGATATGTGATATTGCTGTGCTGATAAGTCTAAATATGGGCCAATTTTGATGAAGATAAGTTGGTCACCATTCAAAAGTTCAAGCAAATTTGTTTTTCGCAGTATCTGTACATGGTGGAATAGTTCATAAAGCTTTACCTAAGTAAATGTGGTTCTCTAGTTTTACAAACGATGATTATGCTGCTTTTTAAGAGTAAATCGGCCTTTGATTTATTTTTCTTGTTGTTTTCAATATTTGAAAATGCATGTTTCCTATTCCTCACCATTATGCGTCTGTAAAACTATATGTCTGATGCGATTCAACTATAAAGTGATCATTATTTTTCATTGGTCTTGATGACCTTTCGTGACAAGCCACCGGGTAATTTTCAAAGCTAATCAAGTTTTTCAGTGGTGAAGACTTCGGCATTATGCTGATTTTCTTTTAGTCGTTAGAAATTTTAGAAAAAATTTAATAGTCCTTTTCTCTCTCAGTGATGGAACTATTGAGCAAATCATTTTTTTATGAAGGTGTGAAAACAATAGGAAACGCTTTCGTATTTAGGGATTCTAAACATCAAAAGTTCAAATTTCCGCAAATTTCACATGATATTTGAGCTCATATTAGAAAATTAGCATCCAAACACCTAAACTACACAAGAAAATATTTTGAATCGAAAATCGATTCCTTCTAACCCCTTGGCAGTTTGCATCAATTTCACTTGTGATCCTAGTCAGGTGAAGTTACGGCGAAAAATATTTTCTTGTGTCGTTTAGGTGTTTGGATGCTAATTTTCTAATCTGAGTTCAAATATCATGTGAAATTTGCGGAAATTTGAACTTTTGATGTTCAGAATCCCTAAATACGAGAGCATTTCCTATTGTTTTCACATCTTCATAAAAAAATGATTTGCTCAATAGTTTCACTACTGACGTGAGAGAGAAAAGGACTATTAAATTTTTTCTAAAGTTTCTAACGACTAGAAGAAAATCAGCACAGTGCCGAAGTCTTCACCACTGAAAAACTTGATTAGCTTTGAAAGTTACCCGGTGGCTTGTCACGAGAGGTCATCAAGACCAATGAAAAATAATGATCACTTTATAGTTGAATCGCGTCAAACATATAGTTTTACAGACGCATAATGGTGAGGAATAGGAAACATGCATTTTCAAATATTGAAAACAACAAGAAAAATAAACCAAAGGCCGATTTACTCTTAAAAAACAGCATAATCATCGTTTGTAAAACTAGAGAATCACATTTACTTAGGTAAAGCTCTATGAACTATTCGATCACGTACAGATACTGCGGAAAAAGATCTACGGTAATTTTGAATTGCAGCCACCTTGCTATACATTGAAAGTATTTCATAATTAGTATGCAACGGTCACATTGCATGCAATCTTATGAGATTGGATCACTTTGCAGATTATTCATTATACAAAAACATGAAACTTCACACTGACCATCAATCCGAAAATGTTGCGCCAGCTGCGTTTCATGAGAAGCAGCACGGATATTTCGTCGAATTCGCCGAATAACAACCAAAATAAGTTGAACAACCAAAGGAGTAAAAAGGCGTAAAACTTCTTTTATCACCCAGTATGCAGAGAACAGGGTGAGTACCATTATGGAAAAGTCAAAACGTTGTTCAATTGTATAGAAACAAGAAAATGGAGCGCACGCTTGATAAAAGTTTTCATATGAGATAATCTTTGTCCAATTTTCGATGAAAAGCTCATTCGCAATTGTTTGTATCTGGATATTGATAGGAAATCGGCTTGTGACGCTAGGATTAAGCGGTTCAATTAGTATCACGTCAGAATAGTTGGTCTGCACAAAATGAGAACGTACTAGAGCGAAACAAACTGGATCATACCAACACTCTAAAGTTGACTTTAGCATTGAATCAGTATTCAGGCATCGAATTAAGAGACTAGGGATAAATATCAGCTCATTTGAGTTCGATAAATTGCCAAAGGATCCATAGATGCCGCACCGGCTTCCAAAAGACATACACGAGCACGGCGTAATATAACTTCCAGGATTACTTGGCACGGGAAAAAATAGATTGCCCTCTGTTTGTTCCACTTCTCCATCTGACATTAGTGTGAACTTCACATTATCTAAGGTCCCTGATGCAAACTGATTCACGTACAGAGAGGTGAGAATCAAGGATAAGCTTCTTGAAAACTCGGTATTAGTCGAGCTGATGTAAGTGTCGATAGCCGATTGTGCTTCTTCGAACAGGAGAGTTTCAGGCAGAACGACAAAGCTGACAAATTTAGTGGCAGAAAAAATGCGATTCGTATCATGGATTGTGCTTTGAGAAAGAGAACAAAATGTAGCGAGTAACTGGAAGTAAAAGGAGCCGATACGTGGCCATGTTATACTGGCAAGTTTTGCTATCCGAGGGTTTATCTCTAAATGGCTGTACCAAGCTGGAGAAGTAAGTCCGCTTGAGCACACTTGATGAAATATGGGAATTATTTGAATGAAATTCGATTGAGGAATAAAAGGCTGTGAACAAGTGCATCGAAGATTGCTGGAATGATTGCGATACAGATGTTTGTAATCTGCTAGCGAAGGATTCAACACGATAATTGTTTTTGTCTGAATTGAAACAAACACGTAAAAACTAAACGTAGCTAGAGAGATAATGAGCAACACGATAAAAATGCGAGTAGTTATCTCTTGTCGATGCACTTTTTGAGGGTCAGCAGTTGAAATCTTGAAAAGATTGAGACGAATCAATGAGTTCCAAATAGACCGAAGCAATGCAAGAACTTGCGCACGAAATGCTAAGCCTAAAACAAAACGAATCCATTGACATTAGTCGTATCTGCTATTGTGAAAGTTATTGAAGGCAGTCTTTGACCGTTTCAGAAGTTTAAAAGGAAGTCATATTTCTAGCATAGTTCTGGAAGTATGTACTTGATTGTCACTACGACAGCAAGAAAACTAGTTTATTCTGCTCATAGGTTCGAACGGCTTTCAATATGATCACTTATTTTACGAAACTGCAATTAGCATAAAATTAAAATGAAAAGCCAAAACAATGATTTTACTTGATGACTATTATCGGTTTGCTTTAGAAATCCTGAGTTAGCTTTATTAAGTTTTTTGACAGTTAAGTATTATTTTGATTTTCTTCGTGTACTTTCTATAGTTTTCGGTTTCTGCATCCAGTTTTCTCTAAAGTAATACATTATAAATCTAACCATGACGATACAACGTTCTAGTTGTCTGCAAACTTATGGCTAGTGCAATGAATGTGTAGCATGAGTAAAAATCTTGTCACAAGCTAACCTTTCGTATGACTGTGCATCGTGTTATTCCAGGTTTGAAATTACATTCGGTCGTCAGTCAATCGCTGTTCGGAATAGTTTTTCAGTGATGTATTTCGTCTTTCGTTAATGCATGCATCATAGTTGAATGTAAAGA